TTCAAACACTCTGGACATAACAGAAGTAACAGAGACAGGCCTCAAATCCTTTGGCTGCTTTGGAGACGAAACTTTTGGCTGTGCCATTCTGCCAGATTGACACAGCGCAACCTTCCGGCGACACGAGAAAAAAAACGAATAAAGGCCTTAGGAACGAAAAAGTATTGCGAAGGAGGGTAGGAACATTCTAGAATTTTTATTTTTAAAATTTCGATTGAAGAGTGGATATTTCTCAGAAAAAACGACGAAAAAACAGAACAACGACAAATATTGTGGAAAACGGTCGCACAAGAGACGAGTAATACGAAGCCTCTTATCGCGGCAATAACACACGATAAGACTCTTAGCAGTGGAAATTGGTGGAGAAGGAAGCTTCGGTGGGGAAGAAATATTCCACGGAACCCTCCCGTGCCACAAATTGGAAGAGATAAGAACGTTATCTCAGGAAGATTACGGGAGCGGAGGCTTGGTCCCCCAGAGACTGTTTTATGTGAAGGGACTATATAAAACTGACTTTGTAGCTACTTGGATGTCGTAGAAGTCTGAATTAACACCGGTATAATTTGATATTTTAGAATATGAGTAGCTAGAAAGAGGAAAGGGTCAATCCATCTCCAATGGATTTAATATAGAACTGTCACACAAAAACATAATAAAATAGGTTGTTCGAGCCGTGTTTTTAATGGCAATCACGTAGTCTGAGGATCCGAGACTCAGCTATGTGGTTGTGTTCGCATGTAAACGAAAGCTGATCAAAAGTCGTTTGACTGATGGCCTAAAAATGGTAACTTTTTACTTAGCCTTAAACAGACCAGAAAATCAACTGGCAAGGTCGAGACGGTGCAAAACGAGTAAAATTAAGGTAACTGACGCCTGCCAGTCGTTAATAGGTACTTTTTCTACGATCCATCGCTGTGTAGTATTTGGGCGAATGTTACATAGACGTTTTTATGGCGCTCCTGGGTGGGCCTGTCAAAGGCATAAGACCATCATGATCAGCAAGCGTTTCAGCGACGAACCCTCCGCTCCGGGCGTATGCCCGAGTTACAGGCCTTCATGACCGTTATTGTACTAGGGGGAAGGTGCGTAACCTCCGTCTAGTACTATTTAGCTTTTTAACTTAGTTAACACCGAAAATTCCGGGGGCCGGAGGGTTAGGTGGGAAATCTAGAGCCCGCTTGTCCCGAGGTCCCTGGACCAAAAACAATTAAAGAGAAAGCGTAAAACCAAACAAAAGTAGTGTATAACCAAGAAAAAGCCAAAAACAAATTTATTTGAAAACAAAAAAGTACAAAAAACAGTAAAAAAAATCCAAAAAGACCAAAAACTGTAAAAAACGTAAAGTGACAGTTTATATGTTATTTCCGGACGAGATGTGATCTGACATTCCTATTTGTTGTTGTTTCAGATTGATTTATATCATTTCTGATAGAAAGATTGTGTGTTTTGGTGAAGGGTTGGATACCCTCCCTTGAGTGTAATTTGAGTATTTAAGCACGTTAATGGTGATTTTGCCGGTGACCGGAGGGTAGAGTGGCAAGCTGACCGATGTGTTCCACACTCAACAGGGACATAGGGCCAACATCCACTACGACTGTTGGGTATCGTTGAAACAATTTTAGTATCGTTCGGGTACTATTTCATTAAAACTTAAGTTGTGGGGGGCACGATTGGCTCGGTCCGATTGTACCCTCCATCGATTACAAATTTCCGAGTTAAGGGTCTTAATTCGGGTATTTTGGTGCAAAGGAGTGTATAGTACTATTCATTAACGACTACTAATAGGTTTTTATCCTTATTACATATTACTTATCTCCTAATTAGACCCAAGAAACACCAAAATTTTGTCGAAATTTTTCGATTTTCGACCAAACTTTAGACCCCAAATTTTTGGATATCCGAGTTCTTCCGAACAGCAAAAAGCTCTTATATAGGGAGTAGCTACGTAGTTCGATCCCCTTAACTAAAGAAACCGCGTGAGAGAATACTCAGTAGAAGTTGGAAAGAACCAAAATTTTTCGATCAAAATCTCGATAATTTTCTGAATTTTGTCAATCAGTTTTGGGGATCGAGTTTTTGAGTTTTTAGAGTTAGAGCAATAAACTTTTTTGTGTTAGGAGCGTGCTAGCATAACGTGCTCGGCTGCCAGAAAAATTCTTGAGTAACCCTCCGATTAGCTCCGTGGATACAGCTAACGACTTAAGGATTGGAAAAGGAAGGAATCGGAGGGTCCAAATTTGATAGTTATTGGCCAAATTTTTGTCTCCAAACCAATTTTGGTCCGGTTTTTTTGCATTATTCCAGTGCCGTACAGGGCTACTACGCTCGTTTCAATTATTTTTAGGCACTTTCAATAGGAATTGCGGAAAAAATTTCTCAGAACCTATATAGGTGGTGAAAAAAGGCCGTTTGTATAAACACGTTTTTGGCAATTTATCAAAGACTAGCCAACCGATCGGGATAATTTTGGTATCATAAGTCGACGTTTGGGACCATTTTTCAGGACCGGAACCGTTTTTAGGTTGATAATTACGGAAAAGAAAAATTTTTAGAATTTGTTGGTTCGGAGGGTCCAAATCACAGGTAACCCTCCGAGCGGCAGAAAATTTTATCAAAACACCTTTTTATCCTACTGGGAAGGTTGACCGTGTCAGCCAACCTAGTTATAAGTCAGGTGGACCACTTTTGGAGACTTTATCGCGGTAACATAACCTTTTTTCTTGATTTTTGGGGAACCCTCCGAGGTAACCCTCCGGAGTCAGCTAAAGCCCTTAGCAACCCTCCTTAGTGGAAAACTTCCACGAGATCATCCAAAGAAGTTAAACGGCCCCCCATAGAGAATTTAGCTTGTTTTGACGCTCATTGAAGTTAATTGAAGGCCCTTCTAAGTGAGGTTCAGAAATTTGAAAATTTTGGAGGTACCCTTCGAAGTAACCCTCCGGAGCATATTAAGCATCTTATTGACCCTCCTTAGTAAATTTAAGGGGACCCTCCGAAATAACTTGGGTGATTAGGGTACCCTCCGAAGTAACCCTCCGAGGTAGGCTAAGTGTTTTAACAACCCTCCGAAGTAACCCTCCGGAGTGTCTTAAACCTTCTAAACAACCTTCCTTGTTAGAAACTTGAGGAAACCTTCTGTGGCAATTTGGGAAACGGAAAATATCCATTTAATTAAGATCATATTAGGATATTAGGCGTGCTTATTAGGATCATAAGAGCCCATTTTGACCCGGAAATTCGTGATCAACTTTGGATTCTAGATCGGGTGTATCAGAAGTACCCGAACAAATTTGATTGTGATTTTGGTTGTGTGGTTGCCTTGAGCTACTTAATAGGAAAGTTCGGGCAATCCGGGAACAAATAAAGGAAGACCTTGGTGAGTGTATTAGGCAAATACACACTCACTTGAGAAGAAAAGTGGTTCCCTACTCTCGTGCACTTGGAGCAGTCCGGGTGTGGGAGAGCTTTTTCTTAGACTATAGAAATTTTCGATCAGAGGTTGCCTTGAGCTACTTAGTAGGACAGCTCGAGCAATCGCAGGGCAACTAAAAGAAGACCTCGGTGGGTGTATTAGGCAAATACACACCCACTTGAGAAGACTGTGTCCTGGGCTTTGTTCTTTCGGATCGTTCCGATTGAGGGAAGTCTTTTTCTTTAAGACTAAGTTTTATTGATCTGTTTCTGAATCATCACTGCTTTTTATCAAAGATTGTTTAATTTTAACAAAGCAGTGACTTGATAAATTGTGTGGCGATAAATTGATACTGACAAAACGTCGCTGTCACCAGTAGGATATTCTTATCTGATTATCCATTGTGCTTTGTGTGTTGATTATATCTTGTGAAATTTTTAAGATACTGTTATACTATACAACAGGGTTGAGTTAGCATTATATCAATACTGAGCAGGCCCTGTGTGTGTAACTCTAGCTGAGTCACTAAGATTGTCATTGAGAAACCTAAGAGACATTCTTGACACCTACCAGATCGAAGAGGCAGCATTAAGTAATTTAACTTGAACTTGTTCGCGGTACGTGTGCATCGCCATTAAATCATACGAATATTGTTTTTTGTCACAAAGCATGCAGTGCAGGGACTCGTTAGGATCGACTACTAAGATTCCCAGGCTGAGCAAGGGCAGCACGCGAAAATTTAAAATTAGGCGTAGCCAGTCCTCGTTTAGCAGCGCCTCCGACGTGTTTGCCGAAACCGAATCGACTAAAGGTCAATCTGATCTTTCAGTGAGCGAAATGAAATTAAGGAGCGAGAAAAAACCTCAAAGGCGATCAAAGGCGGAGCGCCGAAGCGGGAACCGCGAGCGAAACGCTTGTGGACCCCTTTGACGAAGGAGAACGGACGCTTATTCGACCCGACTTTGAGCCAAGCGAGGACCTCGAGCGGGAGGAAGTCGAGAGGACGGAGGAGACCTCGGAGCGTTCCGAGGTCGAGCCGCGAGAGGAAGTGTTATTCAAGGGAATGTCCAAATCGGAGACCAAGAGTCATAGGTGGAGGAGAGAATATTCACATTCGGCTAATACCCACTCATCTCTGGCCAAGCAGAGTAACAACGCGATGATGTCGAGTATAAGCCCGAGTGAAGAACAACCGGGCTCCAAGGCCAAGAAGAGTTGGAAGCCTTTGTACGATGAGCGCATGGCGTCACTACGAACTGAAGGTTTATCTTCCAGTTATGACTACCCGGAGATAACCCATCCGGATGTGAACTTCACACCGTGCCCAAGGAACGACATGAGCAGGAAGGCGTCGTCCGCCTCGCCGACCAGGCCCATGTCAGATGGGATAACGATGGGAGCGTCATCAACGTTCGACAGATTGATGACGTCAATGAGCAAGCAAAAAGGCGGTGCGTCATCAAGCACCAGGCTGCAGCCACAGTTGACCTCATCTTCTTTGGGACTAACCCCGTCATTTGGGGCCACTGGCGACATAAGTGACATGCTCGCTGGCGTAATGAAATGTCTGGATGAACTGAGACGGGACATGACTAAGAGAATAGATCAGGTTGACGAGAGAGCTCACCAGGGTCGAGATAATCTGAGAGATGAACTAACGTACGCGGAGTCGCAGGCGAGGGTTGATCAGGCTCAATTGATTCGCAACACCGATCAATGCCTGGCGGAGAGCCTGGCACAGGCAAACAAGGAGTCGTACGAAAGAGAAGCTAGGATGACGAGGGAGATCGAGCGATTGTTGAACGATCATGATAGTACCTACGCCCACACGATGACTAGCCTGGAGAAAAGGTTAGATGCCAAGTCTGACTTAATGATGCGGAAGCTTGACGCGATCCTGAATGGGAGCAATTGGCAGGATCGTTCCAACCCAAGGGAGCGCTCACGCCATGCGAATGATGGAAATGGTACGGGCAGCAATGCCAGAGCCCAGCAAAGCTCGAGAACGAACTACGAACCTACGAACCTAGGAACAACGAACCTAGGAACACAGAAGCAACAACAGTGACAATACAGAGGGGAAAGAAACTTGGCTATGCTTTGCCTCTGAACACAGACTTTCAGAGTGTGGAGAACTTGAAAAAGTTTGATGTAACTAAATGTCCATTGAATGCGAACCAATAATGTATAATGAGGAGAGTGAATGAATTGAAATCTTCTAGGAAATTGTTTTCAATGAAATCGGAAACAGATGATGGGCTGTCTAGTTGCTCCAACTTTCCTGAGAGGCCGACAGAAGCAGAGTTAGCAGCGAATAAACAAGTCCTACCTGAGATAGAACATTTGAAGGGTAAAATATCAGACAAAGAACTAGATTCGCTCAGAGCGGTGCTAAATCGGAACGCAGACGTTTTTTCGAAACATAAGGCCGACATAGGTTGCTGTAATTTTGTAAAACACGAGATTGAGATAGAAGAGGGCTCGGTACCTCATAGGGAAGGGGCGAGAAGAATGACCTCAAACAAGTCAGAAGCGTGTAGGAAGGAAATCGAGATGTTAATGGAGTACGACATGATCGAGCCGTCGAAGTCCCCGTGGGCTTGTGGCGTGGTCATGGTGAAAAAGAAAGGGGGACAACTCAGATTTTGTTGCGATTTCCGTTATCTGAACGCAGTGACTATAAAGGACGCATACCCGATTCCCCGCATCGATGAGAGCCTATCCAAGCTGGGAGATGCGAAGTTCTTCACGACGTTGGATCTGGGCTCTGCGTTCTGGCAAGTGCCACTCAGAAAGCAAGATCGAGAGAAAACAGGCTTTGCGTGCGAGCTGGGATTGTTCCAGTGGAAGAGGATGCCGTTTGGATTGTGCAACGCGACGGCCACATTCCAGCGACTGATGGCCCAGGCACTCACGAGCGTCACTAAGAAATACGGGAATCTCATAATGTGTTATGTTGATGATGTCGTGATTGCAACACCAACCTTAAAAGACCACATAGAGAGGTTGGAGGAGGTGTTTTCTTGCATGAAGCAGGCGGGTCTGAAATGTAAACCCTCTAAGTGTGAAATACTCAGAGATTCCATAAAGTATCTGGGCCGCCTGGTGGACAAACATGGAGTGAGACCAGATCCTGAAGCGGTTGAAGCGGTGCTGACCTGGAAGGCGCCTAAAACAGATACACAGCTGATGAGTTTTTTGGGATTCGCTAATTATTATCGAGAGTTCATCAAGGGGTATGCTGACAAAATATACCCCATGCAGCGGTTGATGAGAAACAAGGGCAAAAAGTTCATTTGGACTGATGAGGCACAAGTTTCATTTGAAAACATCAAACGTGAACTTTGCGAGGCACCGGTCCTCGGCATGCCAACAGAGAAGGGGATGTTCGTGCTGGACACGGATGCATCAGTGGTTGCGATATCGGGCATACTTCACCAGGAGCAGGAGTGCAACGGGAGAACAGTTCTTCGTCCGATAGCCTACGGGAGTAAAGTCCTGAGTGATACTGAAATGAAGTACGGCGCACCAAAAGCGGAGATGTTTGCGGTGATCACTTTCGTGGAAAAATACAGGGCCTACTTGGGGAGTGCTCCCTTCAAGTTACGTGTGGATAATCGTGCCCTTGCCTGGCTGAAAACCTATTCGATGGACCAAAGTTATATTGGTCGTTGGATCGTGCGCCTGGATGGATACCACATGATCATAGAGCACCGTACCCGTGACAAGCACCAGAACGCAGATAGCCTCAGTAAAAAGACAGAATTTTATGAGCGCCTCAAGGAGAAACAGGCTAACCAATCAGAAATCAAAGACGGGTTTTCATTTCTGGACAAGGAAACATACGACAAACTACCACTTACTAGGTGGTTAGACAAGTCAGGGCATCCTATACCCGGACACCCTGACCTTCCAGTGGAAACGGCCGCGGAGATAAAGCTTTTAGCCAGAGGCGAGCCTGTTCCGTTGGATCTGCTAGTCCGATCCAATTTGGTACAGCAAGAACTTACCAGGCTGGGTACAAACAGCATGGCTCTATTGAACAGGACGGTGAACGTGGCGCCGGAAGTCATGGGAAAGCTCCGCGACTTGTTGGACAGGGAAGTGGATAGGCATGATCGTGAGTGGATGGAGACCATGCAGCGGTTGACTGTCACCGAGAGAACAGAGAGGAGGCCAGTGTCCATTCGCAGCCGAGGCGTTGAACGGGATTGCAGGTCGATAGTCAACCAGCTGGTGAGCTCGATGCCGAAGGAGGTCTTGTTGAGAACTTCGTTCACTGAATATGGAACACTGAATCAGACCCAAACCACTGAGGAAGTCAGGATCAAGTCAAAATCTAGCTTCGCGAGGAGAGTGCATTTCACGGATGCAAAAGAAGAATACGAGCCTAGCCCAGATTGGTCGTCCGGGGACGAGACGATGTTCGGGGAGTCTGATACCTTCGAGCCAGTCAAGGACGACTTGTCTGAGGAGTCAGACACCTTTGAGCCCGTGCCGGACGACTTGTCCGGGGAGAGGTTGACGAGACCACCTAGGGACAGAATTTTGTCCGGGGAGTCGGGTTCAAAGCGACCAATGGACAGAGTTTTGTCCGGGGAGTCGAGAAACATCTCAGACAGCTTGGAATATGAAGTTGGGGAATCAGTCAAATCAAGTGTTGACTCGAGGCCCCAGTCCTGGGACAACACATCTGAAACAACTTCCAATTCCGATATGTCATAGATCGCAATCCACTCCTTATTGGTAGACTGGAAGCAGCGCGGGCAGCGCGAAGGATCCAGCGCGAAGGACTGGAAGCAGCGCGAAGGATCCAGACAGGGACAGATACGCCTCAGATGAAGAGGGCACTGTGGTAGATAATGCCGCAGACGAGCTCGAGCTGATAGCAGTCTCGAAACGCCCAACCAGATTGCTGCCACATGGTACGGTCGTCCGTACCAATCTGGAACCATCTGTGCAGGAAGCGACGCCTTTGAAAAAGACATGGTGTGTCAAGTTGACGGACGATGCTCATGCTCCGGAGATAATGAGTGGGCAAATGAACGTGGTAAAGACGTATTTGAAAGCCAGGTACAGGCTGTCGGATATCCTAAGGGCTCAACGAAATGATAGAATGACGAGCAGTCTGAAGAGATGGATCGAGAATGGAGCACCTGACAAGGGAGACTTGGAAAAAGACAGCTACAAGATCTTGAAGCAATTCTACCTGAAGTGAAACGACTTGTTGTACCTGAATAAGGACGGGATCGTAGCCTGTAAACAAAAAGAGGAGGACAAGGTCCTCTATAAATACAATTCAATAGTGTTACCACAGTTGTACCAGACCGAATTGCTCTTTCGCTCACATGATCAGATGGGCCATCAAGGCGTGGACAAAGTGTATAACAGGATACAGAAACGATTCGAATGGCCGGGATTGAAGAAGGCTTGTGAGAAGTGGATCGCCGCATGCCTAACAGTCAATAGAGTCGTCAGGTTTCAACGAAGTGGTGCAAATTGATCATCAGAAAATCTGCATGACAGCAACGGGCTATAATCAGGTGCTGGTAATGATCGACCATTTTACGAAGTATGCGGAGGCAGCACCCTGCATGACAGCATCGGCGGAAGAAACATGCGATCATTTGATAAATGTGTGGATAGCGAGGCATGGCTGCCCCATCACGTTCCAATCGGACAATGGCAAAGCATTCGTGGGTGATCTCACGAAGGAGTTAATGAAAAGGTCGCAGGTAGCGCAGGCCCACTCGACCACTTATCACCCACAAACGAATGGCCTAGTCGAGAGGCAGAATCGCACACTGGTATCCATGCTGAGAGTCTATTGCTCGCGTTACATGGATGACTGGGAAAGCACTTGCCGCAAGTGATGGGTGCTTACAACAGCACGGAGCATTCCACCACGGGAATAAGTCCGCACATGATGCTAACGGGTCATGAAAAAGCGCTCCCGTTGACGTTTTTCTACCCTGAATATGAGGGGAAGAGGACAGCACCGCAAACGTACGTGCGGGATGTTATTAGAAGACAGCAGGACCTCAATGACTTATGCAGGAGGAACACGCAACAGGCGCAAATTAGACAAAAAAGGAGGTTTGATAAAAGGACAGCCGATGCGAAAGCCTACTCAGTTGGCGACTACGTCTGGGTGTTCCAGGAAGTGGTTCCACCAAAAGGAACCAAGAAATTAATAAAGAAACGGCGTGGTCCATTTCAGATAACAGAGGTGCACCAAGGAGGTCGTTTTTATCGATTGAGCACTGGAAGAGCAGCTCATTACGAAAATATAAAAACACACAATGCCTCGTCAGAGGACTGGTGCATCCCAGCGGACATGCAAAAGGGAGACTATTTGATAGTGGATCCTGCTTGTGAAGTGAATGAAAGGGGTACTCGCGACAAAAACGACGGGAATGAGGTGGTGGACGATTGCGACCTACCACTGGATCTGGAGTTGACCGAGCGAGTAGAGGGGGACAATGAAACTCTACCTAATGCCGAGGAAGACTAGGACTGCCCGGAACAAATCGAAATTGACAAAGGAATACAGCCTGACTTTCCACTCACCATGGAAACACGCCAGAGCAAGAGAGGAAAAAACAAGAAGAAATACAATCCGTACGGCGAGGATTTCGTTGTAGACAGAATAGTTGTAAGTGACGTCATGGACTCGCTAGTGGGACTGGACGAAGTGGCGATGCTAGAAGAAATCGACTTGGTGAATGATATGGATCAAGATTGGATCGACGATCGATCAGAACCGGAAGTGGAGTTCGAACCAGAAGCGGAACAGACACATGAGCAAGAACTAACGAACTTGCGCGTGCTCGAATGGCTTCATGATCTGC